GAAGCAATACTTTATTAAATTACTATTATCATAGACGGGTTCCATCTGACACATTACTCATACAGTTACACGTTCAATGCATTTGTGCTTAAATGGAAAAGTACTTACTTTAGATATCTCTCGGTCAATTGTAATATTAATCATAATCTATATAATAATTTTCTTCATACCACTTCTCTGACGCATTTCTAAGTAACAATTTCCGTTTGCCATTGGTAATCGTACTGGTTGCCAAGTGTACTCATGTGATAATTCCTACGGCGACACCTAGTCTGGGGCAAGCTATTGTTGCACAAATAATAGCACACTAGCACTGTTTGACATTTGCGTAGGAGTCTACATACATCGGAATATATTATATATATTTATGCCTAGTACTTAGGTATGCACTCTTCGATTGTTCATTCGGTTGGGATTGGGTTAATAATATGTATCACCAACTTTTAGTTGTTGATTCATATTGTTTTTATATGTATGTATTCAAGCACTTTTAGCTTGAATTTAATGAATAGTTATCACTGGGATTTTTACGTGTAGTTAAGTAAGAAATAATTGTAAAATAAATAATTTTAAATTGATAATATAATTTTAGAGTACATCTAATTTTACTAATATACCTAGTTCCTTTCCCTTGGTGTGTTTATTTTTATTTCGGCTCACAGCCATTGTGTAAAGTGTAAATAGTTATTACCTAACAGTGGCAGTTAAAAATGGAGCGTCTCTATTCCACCCACAAAATTTTGGCTGGCACTACAAGGTGAACTAGGCGCGTGGGCCGGGAACGCCTTGTACGCCACGGTTTTGTAAATTACTCACTGCGTATGAATGGCTGTTTGTGTAAGGATTTATGTATAAATAGTTAAATATTCCAAAATGCTTAATTGCAACAGATCATCTATCAGATATTTATTTATCTTGATAATGTCGCGTTATGCTTCCAAGCAGTGAGTATCGAAAGAAGTTTCCACTTTCCATTTTTCAACATGAGAAATTTCTATTTAAATCCTTTTTATACTTATTCGCAATATATAAGGGATACATATATTGAACGTTATAATATAAGGAACTTCTGTACGAAATTTTATTCTTTTAGACGTAGCGGATTAGGCTGTGTGTTGTTTGTCAGTTAGTGTTAAATTTATGCAAGTGCACCCATAAATGTTCAAGGTTTAAGGAAGCCCCTGAATAAAAATATGTAAGTTACATAATCCCGTCATGAAAGAAGTTTGTTGTTTGTTAACCTGCTGGTTCCAACTTTTCGTTTTCGTAAGCATAGGGCGAACAAAGAATGATCATAAGATTACACGGTCACTTTACCCAACAAAGTGTGTATATAAAGAGGTTCTTGAAATTTGTCACCTGTTAAAACATTTCATGCTTACATTATAAATGAAAGTAACAGATTAGTGTTCCATAAAGTTACGTGTCAAAATGGCCTACATTTAAAAGCAACAGTGAGCTCATTTATCAACCATTGTTACGAACGCATAGTGATTCCCATTATATTAGACTTATGATTTTAAGCATCCCATTACTTACAACTTTGAAGTTTGAATTGTAAGGCAAATTGTAAATTATTTTAGGCAAAATAGCTAAACATACATATATATAAGAAATAATTATTACCGAGCCTATAAGACCGAGTCTAGTTGTCGCTAACTCAGTCGTAAATATAATATTTATGACAAGTTTACAATGGAATTACATAACGTGCGGTCGTAGTGCCTATGCCTTGACATTGTACGATACACTGAACTGTGCACGTGTATCGTAAAATATTAAGTAAAATATTCTTGCAACTTGCAACGCATATATTATGCATAAACATTCACTTTTCAAAATTACTTTCAATTTACATATATTTTAATTTTGTATTACACTTTCAGGAAAAATTACGTAATTATTTTTTTTATATTCGGGTATATGATTTTATATTACAACTAGTGAATCACATTCGCTCCACTCGGGTTCGTCCCTACTTACGTTTTAACGTTTAGTGTAGATTTCTCAGAGATGAGATATTTTACCGTAGTAAGAAGTATCCTATATGTTGACCCGTATGTATAACCAGCTATCATCATACCAAATTTCATCAAAATCCCTCCAGTGGTTGGATGCGGTCTCTGTATCGATAATAATATCTATTTCAATAAGATTTTCCAAAAAATATTTAATGTACAGATTCGACTCTGTTAGAATTTTATTAAATGTATAGATGTATCTAATACCTTTAAACGAGCAATTCTTGTATATTTATTTATTTATACCGGCGATCTCGAAAACGGCTCTAACGATTTCGCTGAAATTTGGTATGTGGGGGTTTTCGGGGGCGAAAAATCGATCTAGATTAGTCTTATATCAGGGAAAACGCGTGCTTTCGAATTTTCATGTGGTTTTTTTCGTATTATGCCACGAAAATATGGTCGCTAATTTCGCACGCTCGGGCATAAGCATCATGATCAAGCGGCCAAAGTGTAAGATTTATTTTTTTTATCTAAAAATACGATATAACAAAAAAGAACTCCGAGCGAAGCTCGGTCGCCCAGGTACCTATTAGAAAATAACGTAAGATATCCCTAATGTCTTTTAAACATATGTCATGACGACAATGTATTCTATACTTATAATAAAATTGTAACTAAGCCGAATCTGTACATTAAATATTTTTTGGAAAATCTAATTGAAATAGACATTATTATCGATACAGAGGCCGAATCCATAGTTTTTAGAATTTTTGTCTGTCTGTCTGTTACCGCATCACAGAAAAACCACTGGAGGGATTTTGATGAAATTTGGTATGGTGATAGCTGGTTATCCGGGCCAACTTAAAGGATACTTTTTACCGCGGGAAAATATCTCATTTCTGAAAAAAAATACAAAATGTGCAATGTAAAATCTAAGAATTTGGTTTTTGGTCATCTGAACGTGGGCGAAGCCGCGGGCAATGTTAGTTTTAATATAAACCATTAAAGTAACCAATGCACACATAAATTTTATACATATTTTCTTTTCCAGCCATAATTATATTTAAAGTTATTTTTATAATAAACATTAATAATTGTGCACTGGGTTTAATTTAACGCTATTACTTAACGCATACACCTCTATACCTTCGTTCTCATTTTTAACACGCTTTTATTTATTAGTTCCTGTATGTTTGTAATGGAATCTTTGAACGCGATTTTCACCTACTTAAAAACGTTGGATTGAAATGAAAATTTGCATATTTAACAAGGGCCCATGACAATACAGTAATGTATTAAAAAAAATAAGAATCTAAAAAATAAAAAAGCGCACTTTTATAGTAGATCAAACTAAAAAATAGAAGATAAATTATACTTTAAAAAAATAAAAAAATATGAACCGAACTAAATCGTAAAAAATATTTCTTGATATATAAGAATAAATTAATTAACGATAAAATTTATGTTATTGTAAAAAAAAACGTGTGGTGCTCGATATCAGTAATATTCCATGGGTACGATTTCTAAAAGTACAGTAATATATAAGTAATATAAAATATTATACAAAGCACCCCACACTTTTTTAAAATAACATGAATTTTTTCGTTAGTAATTTTCACTTTATTCTTATACAAAAAAATATTTTTTATTTTTAGTTTGGTTCATCATTAAAGCGAGATTTTCTTATTTTTCAAAATTATAATTTCTATCAAATGTCTCCTATGTCTAAAATTGTAATGCACCTTATTTAAAGAAACTATTTACACATATTTTTACCCTTCGATTATATTACTATTCGATGTATATTTTGTGTAAAGTATCCTGTTTTCTTTCTCATAATTCTCAAGATAGATCCAAAAGACTGAGATTTTTCTTTAAAAATCTCCTTTTAAAATGATTCTGAAGTAGGCTTAAATATTTTTTTTTAAATGTAATTACATATTTACATTACATAATATTATATTTATTAACGTCTATTTTAATCCTTATTTTCTGTATACTTTAATTAAATAAAAATATATATTTGTATCGTGCTTTACATATTTATAGGTGCTTTCATTGCTTAAGGCGTTTGCGAAACCAGGAATAGGCATTGCTTCTAATCGTGATATAATGGCCTTTAACGACGGACAAGTGTCTTATTGGTGAAAGTGCTGTTAAGGCCGGCTACTACAAATGCTTTGTATCTCGAAAGAGGCATACATAATGGTTATGACACATTACTGTTACATGTAAGACAAAGGATCGACCTGCATCTGCGAGTTTGAATCATGCACTTAATAACAAAAAGTATTTTATAATATTTAACACCTATAATAAAAATGTTTTGTTGTTTCAGATCTGTTTGGGTTGCAACAGAAGGAAAATATATTTTTAAGATATATATGTGCCTATCAGCTGGCTGGATTTCGATAAGATTTTTATTTGCTTAGACACATTGTACAGTTACTTGTCTGATTAAAAATACAACTATTATACAAAGAAAGGTAATTATGATTGTACACTAAATAATAATAATATATAAGTGAGTGAAGCCTGAGGCTCCTAGAGTATGTGTTAGTATAAAGACAAGTCCTTCGTAAATATGCATAATAAAAAAAAGATTATAATACTAGTTTAAAAGCTTTTCGCCCTGAGTCGGTTTTTTTCGTGTTTATAACATAATTTACTTAAGCACATTTACTCGTTATGATATGAAAGCTAGCATGATCTGTGTCACGGTCTAATTGAAGTCGGTGGTGGGCACGCCGCGCCGCACGGTGACTGGGCACGATAAACAAGATGTGCGAGTAATTTTGTCTCAAAAGATGGTTACTGTCATTCACGCATTTTGTAACGGTCCTCTACGAATAAAATGCCTTATATTAGCATTGTATGTGAGTACACAGATTCTGAATAGTAAATTAATATGGGGTACATTGCAAAACGCCCTCCAGGTAGGTTGAGCGACGATTTATGTACGTAGTAGCTGGCAGTGGTTGGATGGTTGGATGGATTTTGATTATAGTGATGATAATATAATAATGGAATACATACCCTCTTTTTACGGGGTGGAAACTTCGGGTCACCATCGTAATCCATAGCAATGCCTTCGTCACTGAATGAAGATGAGACTGGTGGAGGCGAGGGTGTGCCAGACCGCCATGACGAGCCGGAGCTGCTGCTTGCTCCAGGCGACACTGACGATCTTCCACCCCAGGCACCTGTAGCGAGAATTTCACATTTACAAATATTACCATTTACCTATAAATACCATTTAATACGCTTTTATCTCAATTTAATCATATGTATTATATTTTTACTTTCTTTAATTCTATATTATGACTATTATTTTAATACAATAAAAAATCATTGAAATTAAAATAGCAAGGCATATATGCAAAATTTAAACGTCTTAAATATATTTTTATAAATTATCGCGCTTTGTTTAATTTAATGTACTTATAAAATGTTGACCATCGAGGATATTGATGATTTATATGTATAATTTCGAATTAATTGTTAACTTTTTTTAACTTTTAATGCGTGTTGTAATTAAGAAATTACAAGTGCGTAGTAGCACAAATAAAATTATACGGCGATAAATTACGAAACGGAACTATAGACGGCCACTTTCACTCGTAAGAACAGCTATTTTCTCGCGGCACATACATACATACTATACTGCGTAGTTAGACCTGTGTTAAAGATGATGAATAAATTTTTATGAGTAACATCAGGTTGATATTGCATAATGCAATGATTAATTATTATAGGACCAGTATACTTTTAGGTTCAACGAAGAAGCTATATTTTTCGTATAAACGTCATACTTTCTTGTATAAAACATACGCCGACATAACTTTCATTCATGGTTAAAATTAACTAACTTTCACTGAATTACAAAATGTTGTAAAATTAGAATAATATGAGGTAGCAGTTGCTTTGAACGGTGGTACTCAAATTAGATCGTTTTTGGTTTGAACTCATATCACGAGAGCTGAGTTACACCGAATACCTGTCTAGACGAAGTCTAGACTTCTGTCTAGACGTTATCAACATTTTGTAGATTCTAGTTTAAACTCAAACTCCAAAATGGTTAAATGTACAATAAAGAAAATAAGCTACACGTTTTGCTTAAGCACTTTCCAGAGCGTCGCTCTTCGATTCTCATCTTGAATTTTTGCTAAATATGAAAGTGGAAACTTAGTATAATATATTAAACTACAACTTCGCAGGTGGTTTTCATTATGTAATCCTAGAACCATCGCTTAACGTAACTACATAGTCGGCGTAGCGTGATCTCCCTTATATAATAATAAATAATCCGTTGAAAACTAATATTTGAGAAATTTTCAATATACTCGTACATTACATTATGTATTGGCAAGAAGATAAAGTGATTATAGTTGCATGCTCTCTTCTACGTAGATTCTAAAATGGTGACTTCAATATTTTAGACAAAGTCTCCCATTCAAAGAATGCAACAGAAATCTATTTTATTCTAAATTTGAAAAGTAGTTAAGTGTTACTTTTGTTTATTGGACGAGCAACTTACTTGGTCGAGGTGAGTTTGGCGAGCAACTGAGGGACATGAGGACGAGGGCTGCATTGCACTCGTTCATTTGGTCGTCTCTTTCACCGAAGCCTAGGTCGCAGGTGTTGCTCGGACCTCGTTTACGTGATCTATTAAACAAAAATATATATATTGCAATGTTTTTAAAGGAGCACCAAAGATCACACGAAATAAAAAGGAACGTGCGTCTTAAAGTCGTAAGTAAAACTTGAAAGAAAGTATCATAAATTATCTTAAAAATCTATTTCTTACATAACTTTTTAAGGCGTTGAATAACAAATTTTTGGCAAGAAATTCATCTCTTGCGCAAATTTCTATATTCATATATAGCAAAAGCAAGATTGATAGAGTACAACAAATAAATAATTTACCTATACTGGAAACAATGCCTATGCTGACTATTAAGTATTACGTACTTATCTATACATTTCATTTTATTTCATTTAATTCGTAGTAACAAAAATATACATATAATAAACTGTAGAGGTCGAATGTCTGTACATAGAAAAAAATGCTAAAAACCGAGTCAGGGGATGTAAGAAGAGAAATAGGACAAATCCAGATTTTTTCAATTTTTTTGTTTCTCTTTTTGTTTGTCTGTTTGTACGGGCTAATCTCCGAAACTGTTGAACCGTTTTAAATGAAATTTTGCATACCTTATATTGCCGGTCAAACAACAGGTTACTTTTTATCCCGGAAAAATGAACGGTTCCCATGGGATAGATCTGTTTGTGCTTTTCACTTACGCTTTCGCTAGTTAAGTAATAATTATTAGAAATACGAAAGTTTGTGAATAACTGAGCGTGCGAGTTGTATCAAAGGACTTGCTTCACGAGCGGCGCCGAGGAAAATTAGTAATAACAATCTATCCTAGATTGAACTAGGAAGAAATTCAAGATGGGAAACACCTTTCGAATTACTTTTGGATTAACACAATCATTAAATCAATACTATAAACTTAATCACGAGACGATCGTTAATTGCCATATTTGTTTTTCTTTAGTCTGAGGTTATTTATTAAATGTCATAAACTCTTATATTGAACTGGTACTGGGACGAACGAATTTCGCGAACGTTCAGTGAACTCCTTTAGCTTACGACCTCTCTTGCTACTCTATTTTCACAGTCTGGACGAATAATTACATACATATATGTATATTTATAGTCGAAGGTTCCATAAGGGCAAGGATCTCGCAGCGTCGGGTCAATCACTTCAAATTTACGATTAATGATACAAATTAAGTATATTATAATAGAATAAAAAAATATGATGATCTTAGATGATGTCGATTTGTTCTTCATTTTCGCCGCAAGAATTGTTATAAAGTATTTATTTCTACACAAATTTTATAAATTTAATAATTTTAAAGAGACTTACTGTAATATTTACAGAATTGAATATAAAAATATTACAATTCTGCACACAAGATGACCGATAACGAAATTGTTCTCAATTAACCTTCAAGATCAATGATAACGTTCAATGTTACAGTTGTGAATATATGCACGAGTATATCCAAATATGCGAGTCAAATAGAGATAAATGACTATTATTATGATAATGATTTAACATTTTATAAATAATAATGAATTAGTGAAGTTGTGGCCAACATAGCATAAGATTATACGCAATTATTTATGTGTTTTTTTAAGAATAGAAAACTCTCAAAGTTGTATATTATTATATTCTAGTAAAACTATATACCTAATAATACCTACGTGTAGTAGGTACTCGTAGTTGCACGCTATAATGACACGTACATAAAAACAGTTGTCGCGTAAATATTCGAAATGACGAAAGAATCGTCTATACGTACTTATTTACGTTCATATTCTGCGATATTTAATAAATCAATGACGTCCACTTGGTGCTGTTGACTCTATATTGTTATAAAGACTGTTGTAATATCATCATGGTGTAATCTATAAATTAATCTTTATTTTATTGAATATATATATTCTTTATTGCACTAAACAAGTAATAAAAAAAATACATAGAAAATGACGTGGACAAAGGTGGAAATGGTGGAATATAGATAATATAAATTAATTTTTCTTATTAAAAATTATAAACATGCAACTCTATATAAATTAAACAAGACATTGAGATCACTCTAATAATTTAATGGCACATTGTAAATATTCCAAGTTCAGAAAGTTTAAAGTTCTAAAAACCTGAGATAATTGACCTGGAGGCTTTGGACGTCCTAGAAGCAACAGGCGAATGAATTACGTTCGTTGACTCGCCTTCGGAGCGCTGACCGAAAAGTATTCAACAAATTCATTTTGATATGCTATTAATTTATTGTCAAACTAGTTTTGAGGTTTAAAGATTACATTAATATATTATAGCATTCTCTATACCTATCTTTATAATATATCGTCATCGACATTGCGTTTTTACTGTTAAGCAGAATATAGTCATATTTATTAAAAAACATACCTAATATATTTGAAAAATAAAGAATATTTAAAGTTTAAACAATATAAAAATAGTGTTAATTTTAAATATTTTTACATTCTTTACCCTAGGAAACCCCAGATATAAAGGAGCGCGAGTGTTTTGAGTATGTTCACCCTTAGAGTCGCTAGCCTACTCTGAAGACATCATTGCAATTCACCTTAACAAAACAATAAGTACATCGTAGTGTAGTACTTATCTACAAAAAGATTACGAATAATGCAAGCAAATAAGTTTTATCATTCCTGTGATCTTTTAAATAATATTCGAATTAAATGTAGATAGTTAATACATTTTCTTATTTGTATCTAATTTGTACTTGAAATCTTAAGTATCTTGTTATGCAAATTATGCATTTTTATATACAAACGATGTTTTTTTATATCTGTAGGAGTGTGACGTGAAAAAAGATAACATTGTCGTCGTCAGTTTTGCGCACTCTACTTATTTGGTCGCAATAATTGGATCTCGCTGGCGAACACCCGCGTAAAAATAGATGGGACACGTAATTTCCTCTAATACGCTGACGTAACACGCAACGTATCACTTCTCGCTCATCGCACCGAATGCTTTTGAGCAGACTCAATGGAATTTCATTCTCTTTTTTTTTAATTTAGTTCTCAAGATATCGCGTACAACCTCTGCAAATATTAGAGGCGAATGCGGTTGCAATAAATCCTCTAAATAATGTGACGAGTAGTCAAAACTGTACAACGTACATTCATTCATTCATTCGCCAAATTTCAGTATTCAACACGTTCTTTCGCTGTTTAGAATTTTCATAGTTTCATGTAATTCATATAATATAATACATATAATAAAATTATAACTAAGCCGAATCTGTACATTAAATATTATTTGGAAAATCTTATTGAAATAAACATTACTATCGATACATAGGCCGATTCTATAGTTTTTAGAATTTTTGTCTGTCTGCCTGTCTGTTACCGCATCACCGAAAAACCAATGGAGGGATTTTGATGAAATTTGGTATAGTGATAGCTGGTTTTCCGGGTCAACATATAGGATACATTTTAGCGCGATAAAATGTCTCATTTCTGAGAAAAAAATACAAAAACTGCAATGTAAGAGTATACTAATATGTAAAACCTAAGAATTTGGTTTTTGGTCATCTGAACGCGGGCGGTGCCGCGGGCAATGCTAGTTTAAGATATATTCATCGTGCAGTCTCAATTGCTAGTTGACAGGCGTTGGCGCAAACCGGCATCTGAGGCCTGAGCTCACTCAACACGTACTTAGGTATATAGATTGTAGTATAGGCAGTCGCGGTAATGTATAGAATATAGTAGATACGTAACATCGAGAACGACCTTGCCGCCTGTTGCCGCGCACCACCTCGCTACTGATATGAACTATTTACAATGCTTACTATTTACAATATGGACGTTTTTATTTATTCTAATACTATGAACGCACACATTATAATATATTCAGCTATTGAATTCAAATCATTTCCTGCTCCATTGCCGTACGCGTAGAATTATCTTAATTTATATTGAGTCAGATAGATTTAATCGCGCTTTTTTAAATGCTTAGCCATATTAGCCAAAGTTTAGATGGACAATGAATTAGCTTGTACTTAATTAGGTACTCATTATGAATATCATTTGTAATCATGGCATTAGTGATAAATTTTTTAAGACAAAGACGGAAAGCCATCGACCCCCTCCCTCGTCTTGAGATCTGACGTCAGACAATTTGCACATTTAAATCTTAAAATAATCACACAAAGCTTCTGATTACTTCCTGTCCTCATTATGCAGAATGAATGCTGTTTTTGGAAATCCCTTCTCTTTTCCTTAACGTGCGATACAACGAAGCAATGACCTTCAGTTTTAATAATTAATAATGCTAATGTAATACCATTGTTTCATAATAGTTACACGTATATGAAACATCGCCTTTACAACGAAAAAGAAAAATTAATAATATATAAAAAATTCATTACAGCACTACAACTGAAATACAATTGGCCATGTAAAAAATTTGCATGTTGGCGTACGAGAGGCAGTTGATGTAGGTCATGAAGTGATTTTTTGCGAATATAAAAAGTATGATCGAGCTAGCGCAATACGTTCTGTCGACTGCGGCAGCGGCGAGCCCCACTCCGGACTGAGATGAGGTCATCACTGTTCTTACTTCGGAGTTTGGACAATCACTTGATGTAATCTAGGTTTGTTTAATAAATAAAGCAGCGTTTATATTTTTTAATTCCAATACAAATCTTTTTCTTAAAAGATAATGATTATTGATAATTTATTAATAAATGAAATCGATCAAAGGATTGTGTCTTACAAATTAATCAAATTCAAAACTTTTTCTTTCACGATCGTTCAGATCATTGTGGAAGGTCAAGGTTAAACAGTTTGGTAGTTATTCTGTACCTGTAATGGATAAGGTGACCGAAGCTTGAAATTTCGTTATTACTTCTGGTTATTTTAAAGAATATTTAATTACTTGCAATTTGATTATTTGGAATATAATATTTTATCAGTGGTTTTTGTGTATTAAGCTGTGTAAGTTACTATAGTTTTTTAACTATCCCACGGGAACTCTTTAATTTTCCGGAATGAAAAGTATCTAAAGTGTTGACCGGGGATATAATGTACTACTACGCAAAATTTCATTTAAATCGACCCAACAGTTTAGGAGATTAGCCCGTACAAACAAATCAACAAACAAACAGAGAAACAAAAAAAACGAAAAAGTCTGGTTTTGTTCTATTTCTCTTCTTACATCCCCCTGACTCTGTTTTAAGCATGTTTCTCCCATTTACAGACATTCGACCTCTACAGTTTTATTATATGTATAGATAGAGTATTTTTTATTAAAGTTATTTAAAAGTTATAAATGAAATCTCTGAAATTCCGACTTCATATCTTTCAACTTCGTAGAATAATTACACGTTTAAATACGTCGAACAGTTTTTGTTCCTGCAAGCAGTGGAATAACCTGCAGGTAGGTCGATCGAAAGTCAGTACACTTGAATATTATTTAAGATGACTAATAGTTTATTATGCTCACAAATACTATTTAATATTAATATCGATGTTATGACGTTCTGTAAATTCCCTTGAATGTAGAGAGATATATAGACTAGTAATATATGTATTTATGTACATATGTATCAAATCTTTGATTTCATATTTTACAAAATAGCACAATTATCATTTTCAAATGCCTATTCCGACATTGCGTAATACCGTATACATTTTTTAGCACTTTCTCTAGGAAAGTGACATGCACCTTCCAAATGAAATAACGGGCCTCTGTACTAAAGAAAGCAATCGTGCCCAGCGAGAAAGTGCCTCCAGTGCCGATAGCCAATCCCCACCGCCTTCCTTCTCTTATGATATTGCGAAAATGTATGCAAAATGGCACTCTATATTATTTGTTTCTCAACACAGCACTGGTATCCGTACAACATTCAAAACATTACGATATTCTTAAAATGTTATAGCTAACTGTTGATTGCGTCTATAATTATAATGTCAAAATATCAAAGTAAGTCTTACTTGAATAATAATAAAAATAATCCGATAAAATATGTTGTAATTGAAAATACATTAGTTAATTAAATGGCCCTGCTACCACAATGTTGCTGTTGCCATGTAACATAATAGGCTGGTATGCGTTCTGGTCGGTACTTGTCACTCGGCCGTGACACTCAAATATCTCATTAGCATACAGCGGAGCGTTATTAAAGAGATTTTTATTTTTGACATTGCACAGGCATTTAAAAGTTCCGTAAAGTCTGAACTTGATATGTAATTTGCAAAGCTGACGTGTTTCGGTCTCTCTATGAAATATTCAATCTCCATTCAAAATTTGAAATATCAAATCTCGACTCCTGAGTACTTGTTGTTTGCGACATCAAAATGCGGCTTGTGTTGTCGTCCTACTAGCCCACTAAACACGTCGGCACTACCTGCTCGAGGACGTTGAGGAATATAGTATAATTCTAAAATATCAGATTTAACACACAAGAGCAGACTCCATGAAATATGGGAGAATTTGTATCCGACAGTTTAATTTAAAGGTAGAGAAGATTTTATATACTGATATTTATTGCAACAACCAAAACTTATTTGTAATTTCGATAAAGAGCCCGTGGACATAACTGTATGCGGCACTTCTCTAGTGTGTCGTTTTGTTCCATTTTAAAACTAGGTCACTATGTCATGGCGGCCGCGCCACTTAAGCGAACGAGGCGCCATCTTCGAATTCCGTTGATTCATATTATATTTAAAATTCAATTCAATCATTTCTAATTGTGGAATTGGCGCTAATTTACTTATCAATGTAAACCTAAAGCTGATGTGTTATATCAGTGATAGAATGGACAGAAAACGAAACTTTAAGCTTTCACTTTGCATTGGCCCAGTCCCGTGAGCGTCAAATCCGTTCCAATCACGAATGCAATTTTTATACTACAAAGTATCTATAGAATCGATATAAAATATACATCAAAATCAAATAACGGCTGATGAGTGTATAGCATGGAACATTTACGAATATTACTCAGAATTATCAATCGTACATAATAATTTTACTCGTTATTAAACTGGTTTCTACTATAGACCATAAATTTCATTAAATATTTATTAATTGTTATTCATTAATTGTCTAGTATTAAAATATTCACCAAGACCAAATAAATACCTATAAAGTAGCAATAAAATTAATTAATTATGTACGATCTTAACTGTATAAAATACATTAATTTAGATAAAGTATAACGAAAGGCTTCATAATCGCTAAAGTGAGTAAGTCCAACGATAATTCTCGTGGATTTTTTCGGCTACCGTTGTGAAATTTCGACCAACTTGAGGTCTCGCCTCTCACTGGCGTCATGATGAAAAGTGAAACTGCGGTACCGGTGAGCGTCACGTTACTGGGGCCGCTTCACACTGTTTGTTCCGGTTCCATGGAATTTTGTAGTGCATTGCAATGTTAAACTAATTTACATTACATTTAAAATGCCTCTGAGATATTGAGTGTTAAATTTAAATAACGCATCTTTAATCTATACGTATTATTGTTATGCATTAACAAAATAAAGCTAAGTTAGAACCGTTGGAATTTTTAATGGTCTGAATGCATTGTCTGTGGTCTGCCCGAAGTGTGGGGCGCGGGAGGCAGTCGTAGAATGTAGGCAAGTGTGACAAGGACACGCCCGTACTCCGCACTAACACTTCCATCCAGTTTCTAATATGTTCGCCGATGATTTCGCAACATCGCGCGCGCAGCTCCACTTCACCGATGAACGATGTAAACGATTACACCTACAAATTAACCTACTACAATAAGAGTAGGTACGAACATATACGACGTGTGAAATAGAGTAAATCATGGCGAGGCCATCGTTAAGTAGTATATTTGTACGAATAATACTTAATGCCATTGTTTTATAAAGATGTGTACATTTTTAAAACAAATGCATAGCCTCGACTATGTAGGAAGTAAAAACAACAAAAAGTATTTGCAAGTTAGTATAGGAATGCTGAAAGGTTACTTCGCTTGCAATAGTTACGGCCTTCCTCGTTGACGAGGTGAGCTGCCAACTCAAGGCAAGTTATTGTAGATGTTAAAATATCCCAGATCTGAATAATGCGACATTTAAAATATTGGCCTACGAAATTTTATGAATTATGTTAATTATAAAACGTGATATTAAAAAAAATCTTTTAATATATTCAATTTCTAGGAGTTCATATTGAATTTTTATTATGACTCTTGTTCAAATCGACGATAAATTTCAATTTTAACTAAAAATATATTAATTAATAGAAAAACGTGCGAAAAGTGCATAATCATCCGTATCATTAATATTATAAATGTGAAAGTTTGTGAGTATGTATGGATGTTTGTTACTCTTTCACGCCAGAACGGCTGAACGGATCTGGATGAAATTTGGCGCAGAGAAAGATTATAGTCTGGAATAACACATAAGCTACTTTTTATCCCGGAAAAACGTACGGTTCTCGTGGGATAGGTTTGTTTTTGTTTTCCTAGAGGCAAATCCGAGCGAAGCGAATGCGAGCCTCTAGTTACAGTTATAAATGTTGCAACAAAAAGATATCGCAACCTTGATGATGTATCTATTAGTAGTCTATTTCAATGATATACTATATTATAAAGCCTGTATGATATTTACTATCGTATGGGGAACTGTAATCTATATATTATATAAAAATGAATCCCTATTTCTCTTGGTCACGCCATCACGCGTGAACGGCTGGACCGATTTAACTATTTTTGTTTGTTGTGTTTTTTATTGTCAGGAGAATATTCTTATGAAAGAAAAAAAAGAAAAAATTGCACGAACTTAACAACCATATTAAAATGTATATGGCTAATGCTGGATAATAACTATTTATATACATATATTTAAAACGTATCTAGCGACGAACCCGAACGAAGCGAGGGTGAGCCGCTAGTAATTTATAAAAATACACATATGACATATGCTCTAGTTGCTCAAAATATTGGGTATGTAGTATGTACCTAAACCATTTTAGATGGATAATATTTTAACTCTTAGAACTTACCCTTGCATGTGATGAGCTGGCACCTCTATGGTAGCAGATACTCGACGACGGTCACCAGCCATATCTGCGAGTCTGGCGAAATCTGTGTCCACATCAGCAAGCCTCGCTGACTTTCTAGACTCCAATAATCTTATCTCTTCTAATCTTTTTCTTAGCTCTATTGGCACCTATAACAACAAAGAAACTTTAAATACGATTATATATCCAATTATACAATCTTTATTTGGTAGAAAGCTGACCTCGTGTTTAAAAAGTGCTCTTTAATAACACTTATCTAGGTGTCGTATGCATGTTATGTAAGGCATTGGAACAAAAAGCGGTAAGTATACGAGATCAATATGGCTGACCTTCGTTCAGTCCACGTGTAGGTGACGTCATGACCTACAGCCGTTTAAAATGAATCGAGAGGCATTCCACGTCATAAGCATCAAATGAAGAAATTAAACTTAAGAGTGGCTATTACATTTTAACATTATTATGCTTTTTAGAGTAACTTTGGAGGATATAAAGTCAATGAAGGCAAATAAGTAAGAAGTAAGTAAGAATTCATAGTTGTACGCACATCGGATCAGTGTAACAACTTTTCATGCAATATTAGGTGAGTAATTACTCGTAATAGGTATGTAATATGTGCATAAAATATCTAGCTGTTGACATTGAGAGTTTTTTGTCCGAACTTCCTTAATTGTTGCCTATAACTGGCTAGGTTATATACTTCATGTACAGTTGAGTATTTTACTCACAAAATTGCATTAAAAATAATCCGGGTTATTATTACAAATATATATTTGAGCAAACAAAATCAACGTTGCAAACGTACGTATTATGTAAACACTCGATGAAGATGGACAATGAGGCTAATAGAATTTTCTCTAATAGGGATGTTAACACTAATCACAAATTAATGTTTAATGTTAATTTTATGATAGTTTGTATTATTATAATATCGAAAATCACATTTTTATAATTTAATATAACTTTATAAATTTATTAAAAATGATTTTAAATGCTATATTTATAATCTGTTGTCACGTGACTGCAAACACTAATATGAGCTTATTACATCACTAACCGCAAAACAAGCTGTTAAAGACTGTTTACTTCTCTGCATTTTCTAATATAGTTTGCGATCTTAGCAAGGAATTAATTTGTGAATTACTTAATATTAATACCACGATGGAATCTCGATTCACTAAAGGGAATAGTTCCAACTTTCCAAATATAGAGTCTTTGATGGTGGCAAACTTTTTTGCAAGAAACAAAGGCTTTTGTGGTTCAGAATTCAGGAACGTGAAAACATCTTTGTAAGTACAGTTTTACGTTTAATACTATTTATCTATTTTGATTGTTTATATTCAAGTAAAAATAAGAAAACACATAAACAGGACGACAGTCATGAATCGCGACCAATGTTTTGCGGTTAATGACGTCATGTCAGTCAGGTGACAGTTGTTACAGTGTTTTAGCGGGAAAATTCAAAATGACTCTATTTTTGTATATTTTCTCATCGAAAATACTAATATTTTTAGTGATTTTTTTTAAAGTAAACATGAGGCAATCTTCAAAATAAAAGCAAATCCGAAAAATTGTTAACATTCCCATTAGACTAATGATTCGAATCTTTAACTTCAACATAATGAAGACGTGAGTAGTAAAGACGCTGATCACCTCATGCACTTTCACTTTTTGGTGATTTGGTGTTCGCGGACTTGGCCGCTGCTGGTGTCCTACTCGTACCGGAACAATGAAAGTTGTTTTAATGAGTTGAATTATGTATGTGAAGTTAAGACACCGACTACGCTACCATATAATAACTAATAAAATGCAAAATTATCATTTCGACCTCTTTGGTTAATGGTCACTTTCTTTCATTTTGCAGTACATAAGTAGGTATATTAATTATGGTACTTTATATTGTTTTAATGATATAAATAAACGTAAGAAGTTAATAACAAAACAAATAAGATATTAATTCTTTCATGTTAACAGTGTAATTAATGTTGAAATCATAAGTAGAGCAGTACAATGCCGCAAATTTGATAGCGGAAAGCGTGCGCTAGCGCAGTGCAGTTACGCTGCTCACCTCCCTCCATCCCTTCTCCGTCCCCACTAGAGGCGGACTCGAAGCATTATGTAAAAAAGTGACAACTATTGCACAATTGCTCGATCCGATGGCGAAACTTGGCCGCCTATAAATGCCAGTGAAAGTCACCGAGTGACTTTGACATGATAACTGACAATACCGCGTCACTAATAGTTAATACAGCAATATAACCAACTTTGATTTAACTTAGTAAAAGTAAGCTATGACGATACTAATTAATTACTTCGCTTGTTTTTCTTGTTAATTTTTCAGCAATTATTATGTACATTTATTGTTATAGATAGAGTATTTTCTTTAAAGGTTATATATTATTATGTAAGTACTTTATTCCACTATGATTAAATAATACATATTAGATAAATAAGATTCATGGTCAATGCTTATGATGTGATAGTCATTGTAAAACAGGTAAAGCGGTTTTTAAATATTATTTGTGAATTGTAGAGTTTATTTTTGCTAAAGGGTAAATTACAACTGCTCTTATATAGTTCTAAAATGTTTACACATAGAATTATGGCAACAAAAACTCTTATTTAATTCATGTATGTATGTATTTTGGTTGTAATACCTCAAAATTTTCAATACATTAATGTGCATAAGCAATCGTAGTTGCAAATGCAGTTAGACTGTCTTGGAATCTAGATTACGAAAGCTCGACCGGCTGTATTATATGTCGATGTTGCCGCTTCGCTAAATAGATTATACATTTTTTTAGCTGAGTGTTTTTAGCTCATGATTTAAGTTTTCAGTGGGACCAGTTTATATCGATTTCGATAAAAAAAAATCAATAAAATTTTTACCTTAAAAAATGTGGCGAAAAAAGAAAACACCGATGAATCATTTGAGCTGGGTTAAAGTATATACATAATAGTATTAGTATTGTATTTGAAGCGAAAGTTATCACATTGCAGCGCAAACAAGTGGCATTGACTGCAGGATAGCGCGAGTCATTGGCTGAGCGTGTGACGCGTGCGTTGTGCTGTCGTGCCTACCGACGACGTAGTTTTACGTATGAGTTGATTATATACTGCTACTGCTTTGTAATGAATTCATATCTTTATTATTGACTATCAAGATTATTTTAATGTATGTATGTGTTTTTGCCACTTTGTTTTCTGAACTTTATATCAGAGGAATGTTTTATAGTAGAGCCTCTCCAAATATTTACTTTTGAAACATTAGTAAGTAAAGCTATTTTATTGATCGTATTAGTTAAATATGATATTATTATTTATTTTCCATCAAATTTGTCTATTTATTCATTTTTAAATTTGAGAATGTAAGTATTAACAGAAAAAATAAAATTAAAATTTCAAATGAGATTTACGTAACGAAACAAGATTGCCAGCGGCGTGCAAACATTCAAAAGTGAAATCTATTCGCCGCGCCATGAACAGCCGGCAACATGAATGCGGATACCATCTACTTGCTAGCATTTAAAGCTAGCTATAGCAGGACAATGAATTTATACTTTGTCTTTCAGAAAACAATAGAATATCAGCTTCGTCGAACGATAACGATTCAATATTGGAACTGGCTACAGGTTAAGTTTTTGTACGATAAAAATAGATTACGTACGTAGGTATATAAAATGGGAGTCGTTAAGAAAGGTGATGCAGTTTCGAATGTTCGAATACTAAAATGAACGAAGTGGTAATGAAATTCATGTTTTTCTAATCGATGAGAATAGGTGATAGATGGACGACGTTGAATGTTGATTCTGTAAATATTCAGTGAGCTTGCAGTTGGAGTCACGTTGACACGCATGCATAAGCAATTTGATGGTAGTAGGCGATCGTGCACTACTAAATAGGTCAATAGCTTCACATCTGAGCTATACGAATCACAACCTTAACAATATCTTTAAACATTATTTTGAATATTATTAATCTTTGTTTTAATAGTTGCACTGTTTCATTTGTGACAGTAATAAATATATATGTCTCTTTAGAACTTTTATTAATTTTATTAAATAAATTTGCATTAACTGTGAGAAATGATCCCTGAAAATGGGCGAATAATAACGCATAAATATATACACACGTGCATAATGTGAAATGGTACAAATACCTTTGAGATAATGTTCTATATTAAATAGTAATTTATCTAGATAATACACCATTCGTTCTTTTAAAATCAACATCCAGCTTTGTCTACGTTGAGACTTGGAAATAAGGACGAGAATTTCTAATTATCATCCATTACGTATGTTAATTGTTAGTCGAGGATAATTAACTGGAATGATTTAAAAGTGAATATAAAGATCGAAATCGGATGTGTACGGTTAGGCCGAGCAATCGATTGGCACGAAGCGGGCGGCCTTGTATGTTTAGTGAATACAAACGGTGGTGCAAGGCGGATACTGTAGAGGCACGCGAGCACTACCCTGCCGAACTGCAAGCTTAAACCTTGTGCCAAAAATCCGTGACCCACATCGCATGACCGAATGCAAGCAACATTTTATTACCATTCTGCTTGAAACATATTTTTGGTTACTTTATTACTGAAAGTGTTCTTTCGGGTAATTTACTAAACAAATCCCTGCCGTTAGCTCATCACGAATACGAGGAAAATATACTGTACTTGGAAATACCATGCTAGTGGTAAAGTTGATTTCCTTTTACATTTAATGTACGATAGTGATATACACAACCTAGGAGCTACGTTCGTGTCCTAGGTCGGTCCTGCCCAGTGACCGGGGCACGAGATGAAGTTAGGTGACCTAGTTGGCGCGGGAATGAAGTACGCAGGTCACGACTCTCATTCTTTACAGCTATTACAAAGTTTGTAATAATGATATTTTATGCATGCCCTTAAAATTAGAGTAATATTAATATGCACTCGTAATACAAATGACGTTTTCGGAATAATTAAATTTGACAATAGTGCTTTATCTAATTTTTGATACTATAAATTCATTTGACCATGTAGGTCAGTGGCTGTCGTTGTCAGGAAATCATGATTGCGTAGCGCGGACAATGATGATGCAAGACTGTGGCATGCTTTATTTATTACGAGGCCTAGGTTATTGATCTAAACAATTGAAGGTTTCAATTGCAAGGT